GTTTATGTAAATGCAGAAGTGCAGCATAGTATAAATAGTATATATATATATATATATATATATATATATATATATATAGTATAAATGTAGAATAAATATTTTAATGAACTTTATTAGTTTTTTCATTTAAAAATTTTGAACATTATCAATATTCCTTGAAATTTATCCTGATGTCATTAAATAATGAGAAAAACCATTTGGTTCTCATTCTTCCCTATGTGGATATTTTAGCTTATGCATTCTATATCTTAAATTGATTCCTTTCCATGAACAGTCTCATAACTTTGATCATGGAAGACATATGGCATATAATTAATTTGTACCAAATTATAATTTCCTCCAAATAAACCATCTCTCACCAGAAAAAAATGATGAGGACAATGATATTTGCCAATGATGATGGTAGTAGAGTGGGTAAGACAATAGAAATACTACAGATCCATGATAGAACGTAATTATTTTTCTTTAAATTCAGCAAGGAGATATCAACATTTTTTAAAACTCTTCAGTTAGGTAAGAAATTGACCTGAAGATAGAAGAGGAAAGAGGTGGTGGCTGTTAGCTAGGGAACGATAGATAGATAGATAGATAGATAGATAGATAGATAGATAGATAGATAGATAGAGATAGAGAGATATACATATATACATATGCATATACATATATGCGTATATGTATGCATGTGTATGATATTGATACATTGAGATATCATTATATATTATATTGATGTCTGCAAATGTGCTTTATATATGTTTTATATGTGTAATGTTAGGGAAAACATTTACTCACTTTTTTTTAACCATATCTATTATTATTTCATTCATATGGGAATTCCTGGTGAGGAAACTCCCCTGTATCATAGTATATCAGCAACTGCTGTACAATTTATAGCCCAGAAAGTTGCCCACGGGCATTGAGAAGTTACATGAATTGCCCAGGGCTATACAACCAGGTGGCTGAGGAGTAGGACTTAAACCCAGGGCTTCCTGACTCTGAAGCAGGCTCTCTATCTGCTACAGTGCACTGCCCTTCATATCTTTTGATCACGTCCGAATGAAAATTCAGTTCCATTCAACAAACCTATAACGACATAAATAGCACAATCTCAACTTGAGGAACTTGCATTCTGCCAAGATGAAACCAGGGGAGGGGAGGAAGTGATTGTGCTGTGTGTGCAAGTGTGTGCGCAAGAATCATGAGATATTTAATAATAATAGCTCTCATGTACATATTGCTTTAAGGTTTGCAAAGCACTTGACATATTTTCTCTTTTGTTCCTTCACAACTGTTCAAAGTAAATCCTATTTCCCCATTTTAGAGAGGAAGAAACAGAGGTTTAGTGACTTGTCCAGGGTCACACAGCTAGTCAATATGAGAGGCAGGAGTAAAAGTCAGGTCCTTCTGACTCCAAGTCCAGTGCTCTATGCACTGTCTCAACCTACCTCCTCAGTGAGCTAAGGAGAGGTCCAGATGAGATGCTCTAAAAACATTTCTGGAGGGAAAGATAACTTTCAGCTGGGAAGATGAGGGATGACTGCAGAAGTCATAACCTAAGAGCTGTATCTTGAAGGAAGGCAAGGAGGATAAAGGAATAAGCATTTATTAAGCACTTACTATGTGGCAGGCACTGTGCCACATGTTTTACAAATATGATCTCAAATATGGTCTGAAAGGCAGAGTTGAGTCATCTATGGGGTATAGCTTGCAAAAAATATAGAGAGAGAGGTAGGGCTTGCTTTGTCAAGTTCAGGGAAGAGTTAACAAATCCTTTTGGCTAGAATGCAGACTATATGAAGAGGAGTCACATGAAATGAAGTTGGAATTTTAGGTTGGTGCTCAATTGTGAAGGACCTTACATTCTGGGTTGACAAGACTGTATTTTGTCCAAGGAGTAATATGAGTCACCATCCTTCAACCTCCTTTAATAAGGAGTTACCACTTTCCAAACTCTTTACCCCCTCCACCTACTGAAAGCCTTTAGACTGGGCAATAGTACTGCTTGCTTCTTCCTTAGCAAGGTTTTTTTTTGTCTCAAATTGTTTTCTTTATTTTTACAAGCATTTATTATCTCTCCATCCATTCTATGTACCCTCTCTAATTGAACAATAGTAATAAAAACTCATAACAAATATGCATTTCCTAGGAAAACAAATTCCCACATTGGCCATGTCCAAAAATATTTGTCTCATTATATAGTTTAAGATCATTGCCTCATTGGCAGGAGGTAGGTGGCATGATTCATCTTGAGGCCTCTGGACTAATGGTTTGTCATTGCATTAGTCTGAGTTCTGAAGTCTTTCAAAATTGTTTTTCTCCATTATGTTTGTCAGGTAAATTGTTCTCCTATCTCTGCTCACTTTGCTGCCTCAATTTGTAGAGGTCTTCCCAGTTTCTTCCGAAACTGTCCATTTTATCATTTCTTGTAGCATTGTGGTATACCATGGTTCAATTAGTCATTTCCCAATAGGTAGATACCTCTTAGTTTCCAGTTTAGGACTCC